ACGTTTGCATAATATGCAGGGCCTTACTCCACTGACTTATAGCTCCATGCTGGTGCCAGGGCTGCAACTTTGCTCTCTGCCTGAGGGGTGTGGGAAGGCAGCAGGGAGCTCCCAGCTCCCTGATCAGGACAGGGGACTTGAAAAGAGCTGTGGTGGAGGGCCAGGTCCCAGCCCCCTGTCCCAATCTGCTGGTGGGGCAGCTAGCAGTGAGCAGGAGGTGAGTGCTACACAAACTTTGGTGCCTGACACTGCTGCTGGCCAGGCCTAGCTGGGGGGGAGGGGGGGGACATTCTGGTGCCTGGATTTGGGGCTCACTCTGCAGCCTATTAGAAGCCTCTTCATGTCTACAGAATATAACTTTCCAGTGGGGGAGGGAGTATGTCACAGTCCACAGGACTAGAAGGCATCTCCTGGTTCACTGAATTCAGCCCCTGGTATCCCAAGCAGCCACATCATATAATTCAGCCCATACATGTACCAAGCGCCAAGCTGGCCTTTTTGCTTCTCTTACTCTAAGAGGTCCTTAACCCCACTTTCCTGTTTCCCAGCTGGGTCATTGGCTACCACAGAATAATAGAAACCAAAAGGCAAACAGGGAATGGCCCAGCGAACTAATCTCTGCTTTTGCAGGGTGCCCTGCATTCAGGTCCCTGCACCCCATGCTAGTTATCCATTTTATCTAATGACTGTGTAATGCCAAGTGGTAGCAGGACCCAGAACCCAGGGCTCTCCTGAGGTGAATCCCATAATGAATGTGAATGCCACAGAGTTCTGCCCCCGGGGCAGCGCATGCACAAGGCCAGCACAAGATGACACCTATTGGTAAGCGGGAGAAGCCATGGATGGGCTGGGGCTCATTGATATGTTTGTGGGTGAGCATGAGAGGGACACATTGTGAGAGTGAGTCTTCCTTGCAGAGAGTGATTTTTTTTCATGGAAATGACATGTTTTAGGAAGACAGACCAGAAAAAAGTTTTTACAGAGACAAAGGGGCCCTCACTGGGTATGAAGAGGATGGGGGAGGAGAGGGCTGCCAGGGGAGTGGCTGGGGGAAATGAAAAGTAACTGACTAGTTACCATGAGAAACTGGAAGGCAAGGCACACTCGGCAGCAAAGAAGGCATAGAAAGGAAGGGAAGTGAGAGAGGAGGGTGTGGCAGTGAAAAGGGAGTGCATGCCCTGAGAGGCGAGCTGCAATGGTGCTTGCTGATCTGCCCAATCATGCCTGCCCTCCATAAGCAGGACTGTTTCCATGCTGCAGGGAGTGGTTTACTCTGATTTCCCCTCTGAGATTGATGGGACATGGACTCCCTGACAATCCCATCACATCGGCAAATAGCTGCACGCCCAAAGTTGGCTGATTCATTAAGCTAAAATAGCTAGTTACCAAGCCACCATAATGCCCTGAGCCTGCCACCATCCTGCTCAACACTTCCCCTCCAAAGAACTAGGATGCCCCCATTTTGCTAGTCACTGGCTACCGGCTTTCTTCTTCTTCTTCCCCTAAGTCGTCAGCTCTGATGCTTCTATTCCAAATGTCGTGACAGTCAGGGATGGGAGGGGGTTTGGTTTTTCATTTTAACCTGGTTTCATCTGCAAACTTGTGGCATTTTACCCTTATCCAACCTGGCTGTCTTCTCTTCTTACTACCAGGAGGACTGAAGCCAAAGCTTCTCTCAGGCAGGATGGCTGCCATTCCTTACGGTCTTTGGTAAGGCATGTGAGGCTCCTCTTGGGGTCAATCTGGAGGGAGGGGAGTGCTCGCAGGAATTCATACAATCAGCTACACCCCGTTGAGATATCAAAGTGAGAAGTGCTCTTGACAGGTACCCAAGCATAACATGCAAGCTCTTCATACCCCTCTAGGACCCTTGGGTGGGCCTAGGGTGGCCATTATAGAGGACAGTCTGGTTGTCCTCTGTCCTCTTGATACGAAATCTGACACCTTTATGTCCTCTATTTTTCTCTTGAAGAGAAAAATAGAGGACATAAAGGCGTCAGGTTTTGTATCAATGGAGAACAGGGGACAGAGCAGCAGAAAACCAGAATGTCCTCTCTGATGGCCACCCTAGTGTGGTGTTCTCCTTGATCCAAGTCAACAGCAAGCAATGTTTTTTTCTAGCCCTCTGTACCACAATGGTCTCTCTCTCAGAGGACTATAGATCTCCATAGCAGACTCTGTAGACTTAGGCATTCATTGCACTCACGGTCAAGTTTTGCATTACAGCTGTACTAGGTAAAGATCTTCTTTCTCAAAGACAAAAGCTGAGATTCTGAAGAACAGGGAGGTAGTTTGGGGCAGGTAGTTTTATGTGGTACAACTATGGACTGACTTTAAGCAAGGTCTTGGCTTCCCCCAGGAAATATACACACCATTATTTCCAGTAGGGTTGAAGCCATGCTCCCTTTACAGTCCCTTAGCTACCACGTAGGGGCTAGTCATAGGACCTCTCCCAGGGGGGAAATGCAAGGCCAAGAAAGGGCCATTTGTCAAGCAGTCAAGAAGGGGGAGTGTGTTAAGAAACTGGAGCCAGGGACCTGGGGAAAAGGAGGCAGAGTAAAGAGAATCTGAAATCTAAGTCTGAGGCACATCAGTGGCCAAACTGCTAGAAATGAGGTGGGTTGGAGAGGCTGCAGCTTGGGGTATGGCCTAGGGAAGGCCATGCCAGACAGGCAGATCCTAGCATTCAGAGCAGTGTGCTGACATCCCAGAGGCCCAGCAGCCTGGAGCCTGGCTTTTCGTCTCTGGGGTGAATTCCCCCTATGGAATCATAGGGAGAAATGCTTTTTGTAGTGGAAACCAGTGACTCAGCTAGGGACTGAAATCCCAGGGTGCTATGAGTAGGTCCCAGACCCACTGTCTAATGCCCCATCACTCTAGGCTGCTACCACACCCCAGAATTTCACCCTGATGCCAAGGTCTCAGTGCAAATTCTCCTGTTCTCCGTGCCCATGGTTGTATTCTCTGCTTTCTAGTTACTTGCCAGGAACAAGGGAGTTCTTTGGGCATGCAAGTGTAAGCATAGCAAAGTGTGGCAGGGATAAGGGCACCTAGAACTAACTCTTGTCTGAGGTTGAAAATGGCTTTGTGGGAGCAAGAGTGTCTTTAGGAACAGATCCCTGGCAGGAGAGGCAGCAGCACAGAGCAGGCTTGCCACGCTCAGGGTCAGACAGCTGCTAAACATTGCTTCAGGGCAGCACTAGCCTGTCTGTGCTCCTGAAGAGGTGAGTGAGGGCAGGAGGGCCTGGGGAAGTCAGTCTGGAGTAACCCCACCTCTTGCATCTCTCTAGTGCTATGTACTGTTGGCTGTGCCATTCCCTCATGGAGCCAGGCCCTTGCAGTGTGTATTTGCTGACACGTAGCTACTGCAGAGGGCCCCAGAGCCAACATGAAAGGTCTGACTTTGCAAAGCCGCTCCCTGGAGCTGCATCAGCCTTGCAGGTGGGGCTCGTCATTGACACTGCTCTCCAGAATATTGTTGTGACCAATAAGCAGCGGGGCCAGGCTACTTGATCTTCAAGGGTGGGAGTCTGGGGTGGCCCAGTGTTGGCCAGAGCCAGGTCTGCTGTCTGTTGTAGGCTCCTCCTGCCTGAGGTACTTGGCGTTGTTGGTGTCAAGCAAGGACTAAGCTGCAAGAGGAAGTGGTTAGCAGCACGTGACTGACAGCAACCGAGAACTGCCTGAACCACAAACACCTTGACGGGCTTTGATCCAGTAGCTGCAAACTTCAGCAAATTTCTGCAGTCTGTGAGCAAAAGGCTTCAGGGTTTCAGGCCAGATGACTCTCAGCAGGCACACAGCAGCCCTGCAGCAAATCCCCAGGCAGGAAATGACAGGCAGTAAGAATGAGCAGGGGAGTCACACCCCTGTGCTCCACTGCATGGCAGCCAGTGTCCCAGCCCCCTAGCAGGGCAGGGATTGCTTGGCAAGTTCCCTGTGCTACCAGTCACCCTCCTAGGAGCAGGTTCTGCCCTCCCTGTCACCAACATAAAGAACTTCCATGCACTTCAGTGGGCTTTAGTCCAGATCTACACCAGTAGGCTTGTTCTGGGATCTACGGTGCTACAGTTCCATTCCCAGGACAGAGGGATACACAATTCAGTCTCCTTCAGCCAACAGGCAAAGACAAGCCCTATGGCCCAGCTTGCTAATAGCAGGAGATATACTTTGTATTTCCATCCTGGTGGAATCCTAGGCTCAGAGCCATTGCCCCTGGAGCAAGCTTGGCACAGTTCACTGTTGTCAATCTTGAGCAATTTGTCCCTATACAGATCTCAGCAAGTGAGAGAAAGCTCAGAGAAGAGCAACACCGGGGAGTAGGTGCAGCTGGGAAATAGGGAGACAAGGCAAGAAGAGAAAGGGCAGCCCACTGACTGTGTGCAAGGCAAGGCTGTAACTCTTGGAGGGGGAAAGTTAGGGGGCTGCAGGAAGTGTGGGGTCACATGAGGACCTGAAATGTAGGTGGCCATCAGGACAGCCATGCTGGCAGTGAAATAGATCTGCATCCCAAGAGAGATAATGGAGGCCCCAAAGCATGGGATTTTCAGTTCTAGCCCAGTCCAAGCCTCAGAGATGCATGCACAGTATTCGGGCACTGGAATTTGTAGAAAGGGCAGAGGACTTGGCTGTCTCATTCCTGTGGCCCTGTAATTCACTGAAATGGCCTGGCATCCACTTGCAGACATATCAACCTCCCTCCCTCACCACAGTCATTAGGAAACATCCTTCTGCGGAACTTGCCTGGCTGGTCAGCTCTGCCACACTTGGAGTAGAAATAACAGAATCATGTGCTCAGAAGGCTAGAAGGGTGCACAGGGGCCAGCTAGTGCTACCCCTGCACAGAGGCAGGATGTGTGGTTCTTAAAGCATCCTAGACCAATTGCTGGCAACTGGGAACCAGTCAGAGTGGGTGCCCAGGGGACACAGAGATCATGGAACTAGTTTTGGGCCCATAGCAGTACTGTCAATGAGTCAAACAATTGGCAGTCTCTTACACTCACCTTCTTCTTCTGCATGGGCTCCTTCTCACTTGCATTGGACGGCTTGCGGCGCAGCATAGTGTTCCTTCCAGAAGGGCTAGGCCGTAGGATGATGGATGAGGGCTGAGCTACCAAGTGCAGATCCCAGTGTGTCACTTACTGAAATGCTGCCGGCACAGACACCAGGAAACATGCAGGAAGCCGCTGTGTCACATGAGCCACTCTTACAGCAATCGCTGCTCTAGAGCAGCTGCCCCCCCCATAGCACTTGTGAAGGAGGAAGGAAGTAGCAGCTTGAGGATCTTGTTGTGCCTAGAGTCCCTAGAGCCAGCCTGCCAAACAGAGCCTTGCCTTCATGCCTTGGCAAAGGGAGGGCCCACTCTATGTGGGCAAGGGGCTCCTTCTGAGCAGGCACTAAAGGAATTGGCCGAGGTCATTGCAGGACCCCGGCATGGCTTTACAAGCACTCGTGGTGCTCTGGTGTGGTGCCGGAGGACTGGAAGAGGGCCAACGTGGTTCCCATCGTCAAAACGGGGAAGGAGGAGGACCTGGGAAACTATAGGTCAGTTACTCTTACCTCGATCCTAGGCAAGCTGTTTGAGAAAATTATTTTGGCAGGCACACATCCACGAGGGGCCAGCAGGGGACTGCATGCTTCGGGGCAACCAACATGGGTTCATCAGTGGCAGGTCCTGTCAGACCAACCTGGTGGCCTTTTACGATCAGATCACCAGATCACTAGATGCAGGGGTAGCAG